TTTTACGCTTTATCAACGTTCTTATTAACTTTCAGGTGTGCTTAAGATTACCTGCATTTGAGTGAAAAACGTTTAGTGAAGTCCTTCTTACTTTTAGATTTTAGTCGATTTAGCATATTCGAATATTTTTTGTATTTTCTTATTAAATCTGCATTTTTTGACAGAAAGTGAGTGTGATACATTTTTTGCTTTATTTTGATCGATTTTAATATACCTGTTGTGATCCAAGGTTTATGTAACTGTTTAATTTTGGTTTTAGATGTAGGTATAATTGGAGCATACCTATCTACAACTGCACTTATTGCATTTATTGTTTTGGTTGTCTTTTCATGTAAATCTTTACTTTCATTAAAAATATTTTTCCAGTTAATGTGATTAATTGGGAGAGAGAGAGATAAAGAGGGAGGGAGAGAGATAAAGACAAATACCTCCCACACTCTATACACCCTAGTTTTCATGACAAATTACATAGTGCATAACACTATGATACTATAGGCCTATAGCCTACTAATAAAAAACTGAAATTCAAAAACTTATTTCATCGACAGTGGCGTATAACGCTAATTGTGTAGGGTGAGCCGCAAAAACTAAGGGGCCCCGACAGTTGGAGGCCCCAATGAGCCACGGCCTATCGCCCAGAAAATTGGAAAACGTAAAAAATGCAGGTTAAGAAGAATCATTGTAATAAAACCTCCATCGACAACGGTAGGTGATATTTTTATTCCATCTCAAATAAAACGAAAGTTATTCTTATTAGTTGTTACATGTGTTGGAGACTGTTATTGGTATATTGTTATAGTACACGAAATTTTCCAGAACATTCTAGAAATATTCAATATAAATATAATATCTCAGTCAAACAATGTCAACAGAAAACAGAGGACCCCCACACCAAATATGTTTAAGGGACACTTCTTCCTCAGTTACGCCACTGTTCGACTAAATATTTTTGCATAGTACCGACTATACTTCAGTTAGCTGCTTGAATATATGAAAGAAATGACATTGGTTAGTAAATGGCCGTTCCCATGCACTAGTACATAATTTCATCAGACGTCATATAATTTTCAGATTGTCTGTTGCCGACCAAGATCAAAACTATACGACGAGTATATACCTTGTAATGTCAGCTAATTCGGTCTGTTCACCATGCATCCCCTGTCGTTTTCCCAATGAAATATAGATATTGGCTTCTGGTGCCGATTTTGAGAATTATCATCGACCGCCATATCAGTGTGCATGGGCAATTCTGGGGCCGGTTGTACGAAGGTTGGATGGCGCTATCCACCGGATAGTGATTTTTTCAACCTTTGTAAAATGCTTGAAAAACTGTGAAACTACGGATATAGACGACACAAGAAGTATAACAAACATTTAACTTATAAATACAAAACTTTAATACGTGTTATACCAATCATGCAACGACTGATTTAACAAAGCTTGAAAAAATCACTATCCGGTGGATAGCGCTATCCGGCCTTCGTACAAGCGGCCCCTGGTTCATAAAGTCAACCATTTACGCCTATATTCTTTGTTTGCAAAGACGTAATTTTGGGATTTCAGTTGACGGGCAGGTATAACAAAAACGGCTATTTTAATGTAGTGATTGAGTTTAGAGACAGTTTAAGACTCAAAGATAAATTATCGTTCAGTTTTTCTTGCTACGACCATTTTGATAGGAGAAAAGTCGTCCACAATTTAATGTTTGATTGCCCGTCATCAGGATGAAAAGCCGTGATTGCAAACAAAGAATATTCGCTACATTCAGATAGTCTGTATAGCAACACTGCCTTAGCAACAGCAAAATCATTTTCATGCATGAATGTGAAAAAAAGAACATGAAGAAATTAAAAAAGACAAATTCAATAAAAATCAGTAAAAAACCAGTCCAGAGTAATTAATTTGTGATCATCATGCACTCATCAAATTGAAAAGAATTTGTGTCACATAGAAATTACAGCCTCTCACGAAATTTGGAAGCTTTCTTCCATTTAATTAGGCAGGCCACTTTCACTTTCAGTATGATTTTGCGTAAAGACTTATACTTTATATATAAACAATACTTTATACAAAGGAAACAACCCTTTATACCAAAACGGTTAATCACATAGCAGACTTTATTATATATAGTGCCATGACAAATGCATACTTAAATTAATTAAATTAACAAGCCATTCCAAATTTACACTCCGAATAGTCTAGGACCTGTATAGATGTTCGTATGCGTTTCATTTAGCACAGGTAATCTCAAAAGTTTTAGGGTAAAATGACCATGGCGCTCAACATGGCATATGTGCCAAAACCAGAATCCGGGGCGAAAGTCCTGAAAATGACCCCGCCCTGAAACAGCAGTGCCGACATAGCTCCAACTTCCGAAAACAAAAAGCGACAGCCTTTCTGAAGTGCTTATAGTGTTTAGAAGGGTTGCTCATAGGGGTGGTTAATGGAAGCAAAAATTTGTCTAAGTATAATATTTTACAAGAAAATGACCATGCACCACCCCAGGTAAATTGCTGATTATGCACAAAATAACTAATATGCCTGGCAGAAATTAAATTTTCTTATTTCCTAAAAAAAATTATCATGGGATGAAAAACTATGCTTAGTTCAATTATATAATTATTGTGGATTTCATAAGGATTGTCATTGTTTTCTTTTAATATAATACATTTTATTTCACTTACCCCCCACGAAAACACGATTTCAGCCATATTTTGCCGTCTTGTTCGCTTTTTATCGCCGAGTCTCGCAAATATCATCCAGTTGTTGTACTTTTACATAATGATAAATGGCTAAAGAAGATTTCAACCAAGTTTCATCAAGTTGTGAGACAGTGCAGTGTATTTTATCTTCGATATTGTGTCCTTCGATATTTCGTCAAATTGCCGCTATTTTAACGGCTCGCCGCTTCTCTGTCCGACAAATACCACTTCTTCGATCGTTTTCATATGTATTTTGATTACAGTATCCAAGAATACGTCATTGTAGAATAGTGCCAATCGAAAAATTGACGATATTTGTCCCATGTGGAAGGAAAAACCCTCCCGTATACCATTTAGGTTCAAAATAAAAAACAAATCATTTGAAAGTTACGCGTAATCTTCGCGAAAACTTCTCGTGGACACATGACAGGGGGGTGAATATTTTCACGAAACGTTTGTTCGCCACCACAAAAACATAACTAAATATATTGTATTTATTGTATTTTTATGATTTATGATAAAAACAATAAATATTTGCGTAGTTTTGTCATAAATCATAAAAATACAATAAATACAATATATTTAGTTATGTTTCTGTGGTGGCGAACAAACGTTTCGTGAAAATATTCACCCCCCCCCCCTGTCATGTGTCCACGAGAAGTTTTCGCGAAGATTGCGCGTGACTTTCAAATGATTTGTTTTTATTTTGAACCTAAATGGTATACGGGAGGGTTTTTCCTTCCACATGTGACAAATATTGTCAATTTTTCGATTGGGTCCACTATTCTACAATGAAGTATTCTTGGATACTGTAATCTAAATACATATGAAAACGAAGAAGTGGCATTTATCGGACAGAGAAGCGGCGAGCCATTAAAATGGCGGCAATTTGACGAAATATAGAAAGACACAATATCGAAGATAAAATACACTGCACTGTCTCACAACTTGATGAAACTTGGTTGAAATCTTCTTTAGCCATTTATCATTATGTAAAAGTACAACAACTGGATGATATTTGCGAGACTCGGCGATAAAAAGCGAACAAGACGGCAAAATATGGCTGAAATCGTGTTTTCGTGGGGGGTAAGTGAAATAAAATGTATTATATTAAAAGAAAACAATGACAATCCTTATGAAATCCACAATAGTTATATTGAACTAAGCATAGTTTTTCATCCCATGATAATTTTTTTTAGGAAATAAGAAAATTTAATTTCTGCCAGGCATATTAGTTATTTTGTGCATATATAATCATCAATTTACCTGGGGTGGTGCATGGTCATTTTCTTGTAAAATATTATAATTAGACAAATTTTTGCTTCCATTAACCGCCCCTAAAAGCAACCCTTCTAAACACTATAAGCACTTCAGAAAGGCTGTCGCTTTTTGTTTTCGGAAGTTGGAGCTATGTTGGCACTGCCGTTTCAGGGTGGGGTCATTTTCAGGACTTTCGCCCCGGATTCAGGTTTTGGCACATATGCCATGTTGACCGCCATGGTCATTTTACCCTAAAACTGTTGAGATTATCTGTGCTAAATGAAACGCATACAAACATCTATACAGGTCCTAGACTAGAATGCATGCGAACAAAATAGCTTTAATAACGTATACGTAGCCAATACCCTAGTAAAAATAAAATATCGGCTAGTGATTCAGCGGACTATACGCATCAACTTATAGACATGGGTATGCCATAGGATGTGTTTTGTAAACTGTAAGCTATCTGACTATGAAAAGAGAAAATGTTAACTAAAGTCTGCATGGCAGGACTCCAAACCAAGTGGTCATTCGAAAGTTTTTATTTGTTTGTATATGTTTTAAGTATTTATTGGACAAATTCGGGCATAATTTATAAAAATTAACGAAATACTTCGCCAGTATATGAAAATAACGAAGTAAAACGCTACTTCATAAGCCGTGACGACTTCGCTCCAAGTAAAAAGTATTCAGTCAAAAATTAATTTCGTTACACAGTGCCAGTCTCGAAAATAATAATCAAGTACAAGTACAGTAACGAAGTGCATTTACTTAATTGCCACTAGCCACCACTGGAAATGAGCATGAAAAAATCCTACTTCTGAATCATGAGCGGATGCAATATTGTTATGCTGAGTGTTATGCTATGTCTGCGTCTGTGCAAACAGCCAATTTTGTTGAATGTAGTAGTCATGCATGGCGCCGCGGCATCCAGTCAAGATCCGCTGAACGTTCATCGACGTTCAACTGACCCATTCATTGTCTTGACCTTTTTAAAAAAAATGCGAAGGCCCAGTAGACAAATCGGAATAGTATGTAGTACTGAATTTACTTTAATCACCTTTTTCTTTTAGACATACACTAGCATACAGTTTGGTTTATATAGATTGTTACAAATATATATAGTATAACTAAATTCTGAAAAAAAACTTCACGGCGGCAGGCAAACTGCATGACGAGGAATTAAACGCCTGGAACAACAAAGTTAAAATTAAATAAGCACATTAATAATAAAAGAACAAGGTACCAAATTAATAATGATAAAAAGCGGTTGTGGTGTTTATGATTTACAACTACCTGAAAAATATAAGCAGAACTTCGATGGTTCGAGCGAAGGCGCTTCGTCGGGAAGTTAATTGCTTCTGAAGATAATATGGCGCATATATCCCAAATCATCTATTTACCTCGCCACCTCAAACCCCATTCTAATAAGCCTTTCTCCGTCGCTCTTTAAGAAAAAGACATTCATTATGCTCCCCTTCCGGAAGTCCAACATAGCTACGATTTGTTTTGCATGCACATCATACTTTAATTGGTTTCATAAATGATGCAAAAAATGTTAATAGAATCTCCTTTACTAACACTGTAGATAAATCAAGGCACGTGTTATGTTTGCAGCTTTGCAAATATTTTCAACATTACAAAATTTGTAGAATTGACTTCCACTACCGCTTGAGTTTGGGACTAGAAATCAGATGCGTATGATGCACCCGATTAAGACTAGATGCGCGTTCGACAGCGTTCTAAGAGAAGTAGTTGTAGCTAGTAGCTATACTGGACCTTTCTAATATATCATAAAGGTGAGGTTTCTCGGAGCAGATATTAGGGTAACAAAGTTTCAAACTACTCGGCTAAAAACTACTCCTGCATAGAAAACCTACCAAAATAGTATATAAGCCTCCTAATTATGTACTGAATGCTTCTTGATATTTTATTAGCTGTAAAGATCTGCAAAACTACCAAATTTAAACATATATTTCAATATATTTTCCGTATTATTATTGCTATTATTACTATAAAGAACAGAGTCTAATTTCTTCAAAGTATATGATGTGCAACGATATCCAAAATATTCATTCTTTTGACAATGTTTTCTGTTTAGGACTGCGTGCTGGCTGCTGAGGAATTTTCAAATCTGTTTTGTTGCCGCCATCTTCTTTCGGCAAATCTAACGCATGCGTAGATAAATTGCACATAATTGCTTGTGACGTCATGTCAGATAATATCATATTCCAGTCTTATAGCGCGGGGTAATAGAGACAAATATACCCGTAGTGTATTTTGTATGTTGTTATACTTACTGCAGTCAACTTTCCGGTATTGGTAATAGAAATCGGCAAAACAGCCTCCACAGTAATTGTCCACACATATTGCTTGTGGATATGCTGGACATGTCGCAAACATACATGGAGCAACGAGACAGTTAACACGTGGCTTGTCTGGTGGACATGGTCGATCTGAATGCAAAGATAAATTAGAAACGAAACATCTCAGAGCTAATCTGGCATAAATAAAATTTCAAGCTCACTCCCTAAGTGAGAAAAACTAGGTGTGCTCTTATTGGTCATTCAGGCGCAATTTTACCATTTTCGGTAAAATGTCCGGTACCTTCAAGCCTGAAGCTGTATATTTTGGCCAGCATGTATCGGTGGCCGGACATTTTGCCGAAAGACACTTTGCTGAAAGACATTTTGTCGAACGGACATTTTGCCGAACAGACTTTTCGCCGAAACGATAGTTTGCCGAACGGACAATTTGCCAAAAATAGAGATATTTTCTGAACTTTAAGGGCTCGCTCACACCGATCAAAGTTTCTATGATTAAAGTCTTTGATAAAAGTCATGCATTGTTGACTTTGAGCAGGGACGTGATGGGGTCTTAAAAAAGACAACGAATGAGCAACGTCTGATGGGGCCCAGGCATGCAGTGAACGATAGCTCAATATTAATATTTTTTCGAAAAAATGTTGGCCGGGAGTTTGGGTTGGGGGGTGGGGTGGGGGAAGGTCGCCAATTTTTTTCCGGATGTACCAAAATTTTTCCGCACATATCATAATTTTTCCTGGAATACAAAAATTTTCCGGACATATCGTCAATTTTCCGTAAATACTAATTTTTTTCCGGGTATATGGGAACTTTTCGGTCCAACATACGAAAATTCTTCCGTAATATTTTCCGTAATATTTTCCGTGAACAGTATAAACTGTAATATCTTTGAAAATTAAAATCTCAATGTTTGAAAGAATTTCAATGTTTTGATTTTAGGGGCCCATGATGGCAAGGGCCCACAACGAGTTCTCGTTGGCTCGTCCCTGAACTGAACTTTGACAGTGACCATGTTTTGTTTTATATTTGTAGCTGAGAATAACATGATTCATGAATGTTAATGTAAAAGTTTATTATGTATAATTATATTGCATGAAAGAATGTATATTGGCGTACATATTTATAAAAAGCATGCTTATTCCATCATTCTCGAAATGAAATTTGCTTACGCCGCTGCCTTTTTATATGCTTGTTTGTTTACGACCTGACGTCAAAACACGTTCCCAACAGATGAGTCATCCGCTGCACAAACAAACTATCGATATGGTTATGCACTGCTAATGACTCACATGACAATTGAGTCACCGTCCCAAACAATTTGATAAACATTGTGGGCGAACGTGGGTGTTTAACATTTTAACGAAATAACATCTCTATTTTCGGCAAATTGTCCATTTGACAAAATGTCTTTTCAGCGAAAAGTCCGTTCGTCAAAAAGTCCGTTCGTCAAAATGTCCGTTCGGCAAAATGTCCGTCGGCAAAATGTCCTTTTCGGCAAAATGTCTTTCGGCGAAGTGTCTTTCGGCAAAGTGTCTTTCGGTAAAATGTCCGGGTACCTCATGTGTCATGAAATATTTCCCTCAACATGTCCTATAAATTTGCGTCCGCCAGAAACGAAATAAGTTCAACGTCCACGTCCTTTACATCCTCGCCTCTGCACATTTGCATACACATCGGTCCAAAGGGACATAAAGTACTCAATTTGTCAATCCAAAAGCTTTCTCTTTCCGTTCGCTTAATAGGTATGGAATTTGTGGTTGACCATTTGTATGTTTCAGGGCTTTCTCGTCTCCCCCCTCGTCCTCACACGAAAGCCCTGGGAACGAGGTTGGACAAAAGCCTGACTGATTGTTGGCAAGAACTTTGTTTTCATTCAGAAAAACAAGCAGATAGTTATTGATAATTTTTAAAAATACTATAACTACATTTGGTATAACAGAAGTAGGTCTATAATTTCCCCCAATTTGTTTTATCATCAGATTTATAGATTTATAGCAATTTTCCAGTCATCAGGGAATATACCATGCAGTATTTAAAGACAAGTTGAATATGTGATGCAAGGACTCCAGCTGATATAGCACTTCCTGCTCCTTGCACGATCGAGTCTTATTGAAATTTTATCAATATACCTGCTGATTTGTTTTCTTTCATATTGGAAATGACACCATTTTTCTCCTCTTTTGAAATTGTTTTAAAGCTAAATGAATTTGACACTGTAATACCATGATGACCTCGGGTTCTTTTGTTCTCGCCGGGTGGTTTAATCACGATATTCCCGGCTTAGCGGGGAGATATCTAATTCTCCCGGCAAAGCCGGGCAGATTTCTAATTTCTCCCTGATTAAAAGTCATGAACCAAAATTCAAAGACACGACAAAGAATTTTCTTAATAGCTTTTACGCAACAAACAAAATAATTACACTACAATGTTAATAACAGTAAGATAAAGTGTTAATTACTCGACTTATTAATATTCACTTTTCACTAAACATTTCACACAACTATATTATAAAGACAGTAATTTATTTACTCATATTAATGTTGATGTTCACAGTTCCACAATTAGCTCCTTGTAGTAGTCCGCTCAAATCTATACCCTTTCATCGCTAACCGTCACTGCATCTGCTCTCTTCTTCATTGGGCTTTGGGTGCTCTGTAGTTCTCTGTAGAGCGTTTGCTGAAGCGGCTTAAACTCAGCCGAATTAAACAGGTTTAACTTTGGATATTGCAACTGAACTGTTCGGTTTAAACCACAAAACAGGCTATACATGACTTCATGGCGGTATTCTTTACCGTTTCTCTTCCGTACTTCTAGCGTTAATCGGCTAAACCAGTGATTAATTTCGTCAACGCTCATCTCCTGCAAATCTAGCACACGCTTGAATACTTCACTCTCGGCTTCAAAGTCACGCAACTCGGTATTTCTTGCCTTTGCCCATGCTTTATAAACATTCGTGCTCCACCTAGTGTGTTTGATAGTATTCTCAGGCGTTCTGTTATCTCTAACTTTCTGAACATCGGCTTCCATAACAAACGAGAAACGTTTATCCGCCATATCATTCTTAGTGAGCGTCCAAAAACAAGACTTGAGTTGAGTTAAAAAGTAACTCATTTTATATGCATACATGCACATGCACCCGGCACTGACACATGTATATTAAGAATTGTTTATTCCCAACGAATTTCCGACAATGGAAAATTGTTGTATACATCACTGATCGTGCATTGTATTACACAATATTCGTACTATCAATTAATTTTGTACAATGAAAACAGTAGCCTCACCTCGGTCATCATGGTATTACAAACTAATACCATGGTTTTTAAGAATATAGTGATTAAATCTCCCGCGAACCGAGGAGGTTTGTGAAAGTCCCTCGGGACGCCTTCGGGCTTCGCCCTCAGGCTTTCTCTCGGGACTTTCACAAACCTCCCTCGGTTTGCGGGAGATTTAATCACTATATTCTTAAAAACCATGGTATTACTTATAATAATTACGTAGTTTATCATTGTGGGGAATTTCTTCTGCACGTTTTTTGGCCTATTTCAGAAAAACATTTGTTAAAATCATTATCAATTTGTTATCACCAACTATTGTTTTCCTATTAACATTAACCTCATTAATCGTTGTTGCCTTGGATTGCCTGAGTTAATTAATAATTCATTTATTGTTCGCCAACTCTCTTTACTATTCTTGCTACTAGCTATAATTTGGAGTTGTATAGTAAAGTCTCTTTGTTTCTTCAATACACATATTTAATTGATTTTTGCATTGCTTATAAGCCTGGAAAGAGTAAGGTGAATTTGGTCTAACCGCTTTCTTTTTTAAATAATCTCTGTGCATGATAACTATGTTTCTTAGGCCTAGTTTATACGTCGAATTTCAGTCGAATTTAATTCGTCGAATTTAATGTAACAATAGACCTTATTCATAAATCGTGACGAGGCCTCGTATCCTAGGATACGGGAACAAAACGCGGGAAAACAAGCGAAAACCGCTTGACAATCCAAATTCAGATGCTATTGTGTCGACTTTAACGGCTTGTTTCTTGTTGCTTTTTGCGATTTATAACGATTTTTGTGTGTATTTTAAGACTTTGTGCCCACAACGAAAGCGGTAAACGAGTATATTATAAAAGCGACCGGTTTTTCTCCCGTTTTTTGTGTGGAAAAAATGACAACGTACGTAGCGATGGTGTTTATCCAGAAGCCAAAAGCTGTATTTTACTGAGATTTTAACGTCAATATAAAGGTTATTCCGTGAAAAATCAATACAACTATGGAATGAAAGTATAATTTTTGAACTTGACATTAATATGAAAGAAAACAACAGGTCACAATTCACAAGAGAACGTCAAATGTTATTGATTCTTACGGGAAAATATGAACTATGGCTGTGGCTCGATAACATTCTGCAAGCAGCTTACAAGTTTAAAAAATGAGGGCTACATTACCTGAGTGAGTTGTAATCCTATTTCTTCAACAATAGTTCCATATTTCTTGCGATTTTGGTGTTGTATAGACGTTTTGTAGCCTTGTTGGTTGTTTGTTTTGGCCATACAAACTTAATTGGCAATAATATACAAAGTCAAAGGTTTCCTTTTTCGATTGACTCCAGCATCTTTTGCTTTAAATATCATGTTATATTTTCTCAGAAGTATTTTTTTCAACTTTCAAGCTCAGTTTTCTAGATATTATTTTCGAAAAAAGCCGTGATATTCACGAAAAAACGCTGCCATAGCCGACAGCAAAAAAACAAATTTTGTCAATTTTCCCGCGTTTTTCCCCGTTTCCTAGGATACGAGGCCTCATCACGATTTATGAATAAGGTCTATTATGCGACGGAAATTCGACCGAAGTGTTGCGTGCAGTTTAGACGTCGAATTTTGGTTGGAAAATCAAAACATGCGGGTGTTGCAGGCTTTAAGATGGACAAATGAAGGCCTGTAAAATAAATATGGCGGCGTTCACCAAAGCAATTATCTTGAAACAAATCCTGAAAATTAGAAGACAAAGGCGTCAACTTGAAAAATCTGTGCGGTGAAGTTATTGGTTGGATTTGGTCTATCCGTGGTCAAACTATTCTGAAAAGCGTTTAAAGAATACTTTTCCCGTGTCACGACAAATCTTCCCAACCATTCTTCACAAGATTGGAAACCAGTTGGAGAAAAAAATTAAAACAGAACTGCCAGTTTCTTTTTTGTTTCTTTTTTTGCCAGTTCCTTTTTTTTCTATCAGTTTTTTTCTTCTTAGAGTTCATAAAATTGTCATTGAGGTTTGTGAAGTAATGGTTACACATTCATGGCAGGATTATATGTCTAGTTATTTTCCATTGACGGAAAACATACATCATGAAAGAGAAAATCATTGATATGGAAGATATTTTCGGGGCAGTAATTGGTGCAGTAAGCAACGCTTACATTTGGAATCCATCCCTCAATTTCTTCGTCTGTTATAGCCATAGAACATGATGTACGGTTGCAAACGTACGTTTTATATGTAATACAACGATATTTAGTGGATTTTTCCAAAAAGAACATGGATGTTGTTTGTCCGCCATGTTAAAAATCACACTTCGTGGAGTCCACGAAGTGTGTTGTTATTGATTTTAGGGTACAGTTGTGGATAACAATCTAATTTAAATAATTTATTCATTTTATTAAATGCGACGGAAATTCGACGTATAAATCAGTGTCGCGTTTCGGTCGCATTACACGACTGATCATGTCGCAAATTCGACAGCGTCGCATTTAATGCATCCCGACGGATTTAATCAATTTATACGTCGAATTTTCGTCGGATATCATGACTTGACTGAAATTCGACGCATTAAATACGACTGAAATTGAGAGAAAGGGTTAAAAGCGCACTCAGTGGAACATGTTGATTAGCAAGATCCAAAAAGATTTTTTTCCAAGTCTCCCACGCTTGATTTGCGTCATTAATATTAGAAAAGAGTTAAAAGACACTATAAAGCTGCACTGAAGTCATTTTGAAATTGTAGGGCATTGAAACTGAAAGGTTTAAATTGTCTAGTTTCTACTAATTTGTAGCCTGCGAGCAGGCTCTCAAGGTCAATTGAGAGCCTGCACTGATGGCATACAAGTATCTTCGTTTTTCCAAAATGGAATGTCTATCTTTATATGGTGTTGTTTACAACTTTCATGCAAACTAAATTTAGACCGTGCAAAAAACTAAAGTTAGATCGTACAGTTTATACTGTTTTTCAAAATATAAGATATTCAAGCAAGAATTTAAATGTTTTAATTACTATTTTCTCAAAACAGAACATTTCGTGCTTTAATTGAGATAAGATGGCCAAGACCAATTTGATCAGTTAAAATGCGTTTTTATACATAGCCAGGGCCATGGCTAGGATGTATATAGTTGGTAGCCACGAATTAGGTGTTTGCTATCCGGTAAATGAAGACGCAATTTACCAACGAAAATACACATATTTTACGAACAGACATATCACAGAAGCATGCAGTGCTGTAGGAAGCTTTTTTTATTGGGGGGAGGGGCTGAAAACGAGGGCCTTCGGCCCGAGGAAATTTTTAAATTGAGAGTCTCTGAAATGCCATTTCCTGGACTTTAGGGAATTAGGTTTGATAAAATTCTGATAGTCAGAAAACAGCGTTTTAGTATATCGGAATTTACATTTGCTTACAATTTAGTAGTACTAAATCGGGCGAAGGCGAATTTAATTAACCGTGATATATTGGAGAAGTCGCAGGAAAGTAGGATAATGAATATAGCCGCTTAAAACTAATCAATTGTCAGTATTTTAAAGGTATATTATTCAAATGATAAAGGTCTGCATGATATTGAAAAAAGAGTGATTATTAGCAAATTATTGGGAGGGCTGCAGGCTTGCAGTCTCACTCCCCCCCCCCAGCCCCCTCCCCGATTGCTACGGCCCTGAGAAGTAATAAACCGAAAAACATTTACCGATTTGTTAAATGTTTTCTACGTAAATGCCATGATTTCGTAAATCAGTTTATACTGACAATACAATTATGTTATATTTTCTTTGTTTAACAACTAAAATTTTGTTATACTATTCAACTGCCGTAATTTTCCGAATGGCCAACCCGATTTTCCGAATATGTTAATTCTAAAAAAGTTGGGGGGTTAGCCACCACCCAATACCCCCCTCGCTACGGCCCTGACATTGTGATTCAGTAGTTGACACATATAGAGCTCAGCGGAAACATATAAATTATAGCATCTGCATGACCAATGAGAATTTCGAGTCCCGATTCGAGACGCAGATATCCAAAATTGTATGCCATCAGTGAAGGCTCTCAATTCACCTTGAGAGCTTGCTCGCAGGCTAACTAATTTGTGGCTTTTTTTCAACATGCCAATATTGCGGCAAATATAGCTATATCGCTAATCCCCACATGTATAACTCCAGTGTCAGAGATTTTTGTATCGTCTATTTTTGTAAGAATAATATCAATTAAAGTATGTATAGTTATATAGTTATATGCTGTCCTATAGTTGATATAAGTGCATCAGTTAAGTCTTTGTTTCTTGTTTCTTTGCATGCTCCTTTGACAGATAATAAATTCAGTTAAGATCCCCTGTTGTATGATTAGATCTTTGTTTTCCTGTTCATGCAGCTTTACCCAAAAATATTTCAATATGGTAAAACATCTCTACAGTCGCAAATATGGCTACATTTAAACCTATATATATAGGTACCATGAACACTGACATGTACAGTGTAGAGATTATTGGCACTAATTACAGATATCAGTGATCCTACGGAAAGAGAAATCTTTTAGATTAAAAAATTGAGTACTTATGTCCCTTTCGGGTTAAATTTAAAACAGAAGAATCAGTTTATGTTTATGAAAATGTGTAAAGGCTAGGATATAAAGGACGTGCGTGGACATGAAGTTAAACTTTTTTCATTTCTGACGGAGGGGAATGCAGTGCCCCCGAAACGTATAATTAGTTATTATTATTTTTCATTATATACGAGCGTGACAACATGAGGGTGAGAAATTAAAACAATATCACATTTATTTTAATGGTAATAATTAGTTGAACTAATATATTAGTTAGACGCAATACATCGCGAATTATACCTGGTGGAGGAATAACGCCATTTACGTTAAATACCTAAAAATTAGGATATAAATTAAAATTAAATAAATACTTAATAATAACATAAATCTATTTTCATCTAATAAATTGATGTTTGATCAGCCATGCACGTTATATCATTCTATCCCAAATATTTATTCATTTTAATTTCATGTACAAAATTAATAGTAACTCTAAAACAATGTATGTCCATCAGTATAATTAGTGTAGTAATGCACTGAAGAATACAGTAAGGATTGGATTAATGAACATGCAGTAATTTAAACATGACATCTTTTGTTTTACTCTGTCTATAACTCCGGACAATTCATTTCATGCTCGTATCTCTCAATGGGGAGAGTCTCGATTGCCAGCGGTAAAGAGCAAACTGCATGAATATACGTGCAGGCATGATTTGCCGATAGAAAATAGTTTGACAGTTACATACGAAGACTTGATTTTAAACTGAAACACATTTAACTTCGTGATACTGTATGGAGCTAAGAACAAATATATTCTCCACATGCACGCGGCATATTTACTAAAATTGCACTCACTGACTCACCATAAAAGCTAAAGTCGCAGCCAAAATGAAAATCGACTTCATTTTCCGCTTTCGTAATTGGAAATGCAGTATGCTGAAGAAATGGCTGTAATTGAATATTTTGGCGGAAATGCTGCGATTTAAATAGGCCTATATAACTCAACGTAGGTGTCATATAATAGTCTTCCAATGCTTAAAGCACCATCGAGCGAACGGATACAGTATCTCGTATCGTCCTCAGTCTGATATATGGATTGGTTACCATAATTAAATAAGTTCCTTTCTTGCAGCATACGCAAAAAAATTACCAAGGTCAGAGAAATCTAAAAGGCAAAATTATGCATAATTTGATTCTAAAGTGCATGCTTGTGAAACAAAATCAAATTATAAAAACAACATCATCATATCATGCACCTACGCAAAAATCTACACCAAAAATATTGTTTCATTTGATCCTCCTGCACTCAACAGAATGTCAATACTAATATACACTAATTCGAGAAATGGTCCTCATCCTTTTTTCTCCCGAAATTTATTTCAACAAATTAAAGGTAATCACTGCTGCATTATTGACTGAAATTCAGGATTAACAGTTTTACAAAGCATAAATATATTTATGCATTATTTATTTATTTATTTATTTATTTATTTATTTATTTATTTATATATAAATAATCTCTTAATTGACGTTTACGCTAGATTTAGAAAACTAGATTAATTGACTAGCCTCGTTTTAGTACTTTCTTACATTTCAAAGGCCGGGATAATATCGCTTCCATGGATTCTTTTCAAACTTTTAATACTTTAATACACTTAACAAACAGTCCCTGTTGAAAAATTGTTTATTCTCCTGGTGATAGATACAATGCAAAATACTGGAAACTAGATTTCGAATCAATTATTCAATTCAATTTATTAATTATTCACCCAAAATATATACAACACATTTAATAAATAATAAATTAGTATACATAAAAAAGATAATAATTAATAAATATAAGGAAAGATAGACCACGTCCTCAAAAATTGGACAATATTAAAAATAAAAAATAAGTATGGATAGATAAACTGTCAAAAACCGGAGAGTAGGAGAAAATTTCTAAATAAATGATTAAATAGGATTAAAGAAATATTTAAATTAACTTAGCATGCAGCTCAACTAAGATTACTATACTGTTGAATTATATCATTTTTCAAATCCACTTTGAATCCAATTTTTGTAAGTTTTTTTAGCGGATTAACTGAGCGAATTCCAAGTCTTTGCTCCAATAAACCTTATATTAAATTTTCCATAATTGGTCCTAATTTTTGGAATTGAATATGATGACCCAGAGGCAAGTCTTGTATCATGGCCTCTCTCCTCCGCAGAGGCTTTAATTGGCTATGAAGGCGCGAAACCTCTGCACGATGCCACACCCAATATGGCGGTAAACCGGGGGGGGACGTATAATTATCAAACGGAAAAATTCAAGTCGAAATGACTGAGAAAATATCTCTTTACAATACTGCAACAAACTGAGAAAGAGATTATTTACTAGCTCTATGAAATAAGACAGTGTTATGTTCAGTTTGCGACAAAACATCTGCATTTTTTCTAGACAAGGTCTCCATCTACAGTATAAAACAATGCATGGAAACAACGTATTTAGCGAACAGGTTTTGGTTGCAAGCGAAGAAACTTTTATTTAAATTTATATTTGACATTTGTATTTTTAGAAATGTGCCCAAAACCGCATAATAGAAAAAAATGAGTATGTATAGCATACAGAACCATTATTAAATTTATTATCAAGACTGAAAATACAATTCAACTATTTCAACTTCAGCAATATTTATAAACAAACGCGACCTTCAGTCGGTTTCGACCTGATTTATTTGGAGGTTCGTATCTTTTGTTCAATATACGCTATGTAGATGAAAATACCACCGTTCGATTCAGTACAAAAATATCTCCTAGTTTCTATCGATAGTTTTAGTGAAATGCCAACACTATAGCGATTTATGACCTTTGAAAGTCAAGCGGGATTTTGTATATTAATATCAAATCACGCAATGTTTACACTTGATTTATCGACGAAAACATGCAGTGTATGCATGGTGTCTATAATTGTACAGGAGTGAAATAACAAATCAAAACACAGGACAATTAAGCATGCGAAGAAGACAATATAATTTCACGGTCATGCAACTATACACACCGGAAAGGTATTAATATACTTATATATTGGCACGAGTTTTAAAGTTGGTACTTATAACAAAGACGTGCATACGCAGAAGAAGCGTGTCATGCAGAGATTGAATTAGATATAGAAATATAGAAATGCCTGGACTGCATGTTATGAAGGTTTCCCAAAATAAGCCATGAACTACGTTTCTTGCATTTATGTTATTACTTTATTAACAGTTAATAAAAGTTTCAGATTTTTATACTGCATGTACATAGGGATGTTTGCCTATGATAGCAAGATTTCAATTTTCAAAAACATATAATTTATTTAGAAAATCGTTTCATACAATGAGCTTTCAAGCATGCGATTTTACTTTGACGACGTATAAGAAGAATTGATATTAATAATATATTTATTTATTTATTTATTAACTATATTTATCCAGTGTTTTTCAGTGGGGTCCTGCATGATACAATCATTAACAAAATTTACTTATATAAATATATGCAATTAATAATATATACAACGTGACGACGTATAGCAATATATAATAAAAACGAATAGGCCAAACAACGATCGTTCCCAGGGCTTTCGTATGAGGACGAAGGGAGAGACGAGAAAGCCCTGGTCTGGGCCGGTCACGTGACTACTCAAAAATGGCAGTATTTGACAGCTACTCGTCAAGGAGTGGCGAGATATTCTTTAATGAAATATACAAGTCTTCGAAACAAATAAACAGCCAAAAGACTTCTCAGTCGATATTATTTATGTGTAGCGAAGTTTGGCACGAATTAGCTGAAATCCCCGTCTATGTTTTCTAAGATATACCAATATTTCTGGAGATTTTCAACCACAGGCAAAGCTGCACTCCAAGTTGCATCTAGGCGTCTCCGTGCAAGTGGTGACTCACACGAAATTTGCTTTCTCTCGTCTTGAACAATATATGGATATTGCCTTTAATATTTAGTTTAAATATTCTCTTATAGATCTGACTTAGTTCGATATAAATAAACACAAATATAAAACCTCGCGTAATCTGTTTACGCTGTACAGGAATATACGGATTCGCTTGTTTCGCCGGACACCAACGCTTGCCGTTCAGGAGCAATGCTTGCCTACAAATTGTATCCCCTTCACAATCTTTTTTTTTATTTTATCGTATAATCGCAATTTTCAAGTATTCGAGGTATTCTGAAACTGTAAAACTCGGTGGCGTGAGGAATGTTGTAGAGACTACATCGGCCTAGGCGTAGAGCTATTAAGTAAACAGGGCCTAAATTAATTTAGTAGTTTCATTTAATTGTTTGTCTTGCTTTTATTTGTCAGTACTGTCAGTATAGAATATTGTAAATTAAAATATTACTACAATGCAATACGCGTAGTATTTCATCAGACATCTGCACTACATAAATACTGTACAAGGAAAACTACAGCTTAAATAATAGTAGACGTTTCTTGTTTTGTCAGCTCACGTCTCAGCTCACGTCGACACGGCTTTTGAGTTTTGTAACCGGCCGAGGCGAAAGTAAATCATGCAGTCGGGAAAACGTCTTACTTTGAAAGATTATTTTGCAAAACATACTCGAGGTACACATAAGAATCATAAAAATACAAATGTTGAATTGTTATTGTCAACTGTCAAGTTCAGTTATTTTTAGACAATATGGTGTTAGCCAATCAGAATGCAAAATTGACCGGGCCAGACCAGTGCTTTCTCGTCTCTCCCTTCGTCCTCAAACGAAAGCCCTGGGAACGAAGTTGGTATACAAAAGATATTACAAATTCAGATATGGCAGGTTCTAAATCAATAATGATGATATGGAGGCAGTATTGTATACAAAAGATATTACAAATTCAGATATGGCAGGTTCTACTGAGCTATTTGATTTTACATGTTACCCACATGTACGCTATGCGTACCTATTTTTCAAGTAGTTATTAATATTTGGTAAATGGCAAACAACATTGAATTTTTCAGCATCCCAGCGTCGAGCTTGAAAATGTTCGAGTTTTGCGAAATCAACAAAAATGATAAAAGAAAAAACTAATCTTACCTACTGCATGGTCCGTAAAGATTGGCAATAAGCCCCGGCATTTGATGCCACAACAGACTGAAATGTTATCGTTTATGTCCGTTGTAAACAGTTCGCTGATGCTGAACTGGGTGAGCAATTGGTCTGACAGTTCCGTCGACGAAACCCCAGCAGTTTTTTAATGCTGCTCCATGATTGTAGATTGCATTTACAAACTCTGTTCCAGCCGTTGTTGATTAATTAAATGTTCGCGGTTTTCGTATACATGAAATCAGTTACCGACCTTCCGAAATTTATGTGCATTATATCGGCCGAACCGACAAGCAAAACGCCTTAGAATCACACACAATCCTTCCATGCCTGCATGTAGCCACTGTCCCATTAGGGCAAGTAAATTGTTCAGAAATCCTCAACGCTTCGGCTAACGCTTTTAATTCCGATAGATTAACCCTGAACCATTCGTCGTCGTTTATATTCTGTATGATTGAACATAGATATATAGACGTTTTTCGTATATGCTTTTAGTATATGTCGTCAAGGACAATCTCCCATTGACATTGACTAATTGATCGCCCATGTTTAGCCGCCAGTGCTGCTAGCAAGTAGAACATCCTAGCTGTTATCAATGTGATATTTCCGATTTCCAGTTGCCAGTTCATATCACAGAAACTATTCGTGCAGCACTGCAGCTATACTTATTTGCAACTTTCAATCATTCAACAAACGCACTTACGCACGGTTTCATCTTCAAGCAATTTTATACCATGCATCATATTTAATGGAAGAATTCAAACGTTTTGTCCTAACTTGTACAGCGGATGAAATTTCGAAGAAGAGACGTGCTTTGCTTCACTGGATATCAACGGCGATGTTTTCTATGCCATTTCCTTGTGGCCCAAAACAATGGGAAGGCTTTTCTGGAGGAAACCGATACGCGCTGACGAAACTTTCCAGTTGCTTTTCTTCCT